CTAAATCTCGATTTCTGTTAAAGGAATCATAATAAAATTTCATAAAAATCACTTCATAAAATCTCATGAACACTAATGTTCAACAAGATGATAGCTGTAAATCCCGATTTCTGTTAAGGGAATCATAATAGCCCAAGCATAGCTCAATGCTCACAACAAAACCAGATCTAGAGACAATATAACCTTTTTTATGTGGTATTTCACTCCCAAAAATGTCAAAACCAAGGTATCACTCAAAAAAATTAAATAGATCTAAAAGAAATTAATGAAAACTTAAGCTAAGAAGAGAACTTGAAGATATATATGAAATATTAAAGAAAATATACTCAAAGATGACGCCTCAGTAGCCTTACAAGCAACCTAGCAAGAATATCGAACAACCAAGCACTGAACCAAGAATACCGCCTAGTCGATACAACACCGATTTGACAAATATACTTTATAGAAAACAAATAGAAGTAGATATTAGAGAACGAACAAAAACAACCAACCCTAAGCTCTCAATGAGAGAAAGCTTTTCGCGATTTTGAGAGAAAAACAAGAGTCGGCTAAAACAGAAAGCTTTCGAGAGGGGAAAGGAGGCCGAAGTGCCAACAGCCAAACACGGGTCAAGGCTTACGGTTTGACATTTTAGTTTGTATATATTAATATATATAAATAATATATTATATTAATTATACAACTTATATTATATAAATATATAATATCTATATTAGTAAATTACTAATATAGTATATTAATAGATTATTATTATTAATTTATTATATATTATAATTTATAAAATTTAATTTTTTAAATATCATAAATTTTTTTAGATATAATTATTTTAAATTATTTTATATTTCGAACAACAACAATTCGAACACAAACGAACACATCATTGTTTGTGTTTAGTTCGTTTAACAAAATGAACGATAGTTATCGAACGAATCGAACACAAACTCCCTAACAAACCAAACACAAACTGTTCGCGAACAACGAGCTTTTTTTACAGCCCTAGTTCTGGCCCCCAAGGGTTTGAAATGCCCGTGTCACTAAGTCTTTTGAGCCTTCATTGAAAAATTTGTGGTTTTGTATTTTTATAACATCTTAGTATACTGCAGTTTAGAGGAGGAACATTCAAGATGAATTTTTGAGTTTTTTAGACAAAATTATATAGTTATCCAAAGAAGTATCATTTTCTTACACAACAAACATGTATTTTGGGATACATTGTTTCAGTGGCTAACATTAAGATTGACCAAAAGAAGAACGAGACTATTGCAACTTGACTCATACCCATACCACAGTCATTTACTCAAGTACGTCAATTTCATGATTTTTCTTTTCATAGGAGGTTTAAAAAGAATTTCAGCTCAATCGTGACACCTTTGACGGAGCTTCTCAAATAAAATAATTTTGCGCAGACAATTGATGCTCAGGCTAGTTTCGATGCTTTGAAGAGACATATTACTCAAAACCCCGTTCTTGCACATTCAGGTTTCAAGTAAGCGTTTGAAATAGTCAGTGTAGAGAGTAAATTCATTTGTGAGCAAGTAAAATGATTTAAGTGACTAAGGTCCTGAGTGTGATGCCTCCCATATGAGAATTGGAATTGTATCAAGTTAAAAAGAATTGGAGTTGTATTAAGTCAAAGAGGGCACCCCATTACTTTCTTCAATGAAAATTTGAATGATTTTAAAAGAAAGTACTCTGCCTATGACACGAAATTTTATATTATCTTGAGAGTCCTTAGTCACTTAAATCATTTTACTTGCTCACAAATGAATTTACTCTCTACACTGACTATGAGGTCCTGAGATTCTTGAATAGTAAAAAAAAGTGAAAGGGCCGACATGCCTCGAGGGTGGAATTTAATTCTTCATTTCATATTGTACTGGAACAAAAAAAAGAGTCAGAATAAAGCAGTTGATGCATTGAGTCATCACCACTTATTACTCACTATAATGAAATCTAAGGTTGTTACTTTTGAGGTGTTGAAAGACATGCAGTTGATGGAGATTTCGAGGACAATTGGATGTGATGCAAAGATAGGCCATACGAGCAATATCATAGATTTGATGAATACCTATTCTTTCAGAATAAGATCGTGCATTCCTCACACAGGGAGAATGTTTTACAAGAGTGTCACGGTGGGGGAATGACATAATATTTAGCAAAGACAAGACAGTCTCCCTAGTGAAAGAGAATTTTTGTTTGCCCGGACTGATACGAGATGTGAGAGGCACATTGGACAATGTAGGATACACCACTTGGCAAACACTCGGGAGCAGAACACAGGTCTGAAGACTCCCCTTCCTGTCCAAAACTACCTTAGTTGGACGTGAATATGAACTTCGTGGTAAACTCTGTTCACAGAGGATTAAAAATTTTATTATGGCTGCGATAGAACATTTTTCCAAGATGACGTGTTTTGTTCCTTGTCATAAGACAATGGATGTGTTACATACTATCGACTTATGCTTCAAGGAGATAGTTTACATTCATGGTATACAACAAAACATTAAGTGAGATAAGGAAATGAAATTTTGCATCCACTTTTGGAGGACTTTATGGGGTAAGTTACATACAAAGTTTCAGTTCATTTCAACAACTTATCCTTATACAAATAAATTGCAGTATGGGGAACCTTCTTAAATGCTTTGTCGAAAAGAACATCAATTAATGGATTTAGTTCTTCCTCGAGTGGAGTTTGTCTATAATTGTTCTACTAGTTAGTCCCCAGGCCACAGGTCATAAGCCATTTGAGATTGTGTAAGGGCAAAACCCTCCTACACCTTTAAAGTTGGTCCCTATATTGCCCGCTTTTGAGCTTAACACTGATGCTGAGGTTAGAGTCAAAGATACTCAGACCCTATATGAGCAAACCAGAAAGAAATTGCTAAGCAAAACACAAAGTACTAGAAGCAGGCCAACAAGTCTAAGAAAGCTATGATTTAAAGAAGGCGACATGGTATGGAACATGTTGAAGGAGATATTTACTGCAAGTTCATTTGGAAAGCTCAACCCTACAGCTGGCAGTCCATTCAAAATTGCTACAAAGATTAATGACAATGCCTATAAGATTGACATACTGGGAGATAACAATATTTCTATCACTTTTAATATCGTCAATTTATCACAATACTGCGAGGGCATGATGTTCCTAGAGACAAGGGTGAAGTCCCTCATACCCGAGAGAATGATGCAGGATGAGAGACTTTCCCGTGATACCACGACGCACGGTATCTAGCTCACATGTTTATGGGAATCTAGACCGAACCAAGAGATTTTTTTTTTCTTTTTTTATCTTCTTTCATTATGTCCTGCAAGTTTCCTTCCTTTTTTGGTTCTTGCCTAATTCTCTATTTTCTAATTAGTTTCATAGTTATTTGAACTTATATATATGTTGTATTTTGATTTTATTGTAGTGTTTTTCCTAAGTTTTTTAAATTTTGAGAGTTAGTTCTCTGAATTTTCGCTCTTCGGAGTGTTGTAGCCTCTTCCCTTAACAAGTGGTGCGCCTGTAGCTTTCTTGGGAATAGGTGGAGAATCGCCCTCAACAATTCACCATTCGACCATAGTTTTTTGTCGGACAGCGGTCAAAACCACTTTCACTTACTATTTTCAACAAAAAAAAGGCGCACTTTTTGTTGAAAACAGCAGGTCACTGTCACAACGTCCAATCACGTCGATTATTAGCCTCCTTCCATCCTCCCATGCCTGATATCAATCCTTCAACATCTCCAACACTTTTTGTAATTTATCACACCTTCTAGGAACCCTAGTGGGATTAAGGCTTTGTTATTGTTGTCGTTGTTGTTGTTGTAGGAAACCTAGGTTGGTGTCAATAATCCAAGTAGTAGAATGCTCACGGAAATATGATTATAGCAAACATCTTCATAATAGCAAGTTAATTCAAAAGAGTTTGTTTCAAAAGGTATTATGAGTGCAAAACAATTTATTTTAAGACATGTTTGAATAATATTCAAAATTATATTTAATCTTGCAGAAATTTTATTTGAACATTAAGCAAAGTTTGACCAACTTACTAACACTTATTTGACCATTGTTTGCATCATGATCGAACATGCTTGGATCATTCTTCAATCATTGTTCCTAGTGTCTTCAATAAATTATCAGAACCACATTCAATCATTGTTTGAAACTTATTCAAGCCTTACTTGATCATTTTTCAAACCTTACTAAATTAAAAAAAAAAACTGACTGAATAAACTTTGAATGCTTGATAATGCTTGATCATGAATTTCGATCAAGGTCAAAAAAAAAAGTTTCAATCAATATTCAAAGCTAAAAATTTAATGTCAAATATCTTTATAGGTTTAGGGTTCAAATTGTGAATGATATTTTTAAATCTAGATAACCAAACATATTACATCACTATCATTAAACAACTAGTCAAAAATAGGAAAAAAATTTTGCCTTGAAACTTAGCTTGCAGAAATATTATTCGGGAATGATAACCATTGGGGATAAGGATGCCGGGTCAAACATCTTGCTCAATGGTTTGCTTAAAAAATGCTCAAGCATCCATCCAAATGCTAATGTTATTTTGATCCAAACAAAATTTTCGAAGCTTTCCACAATATAAAATTCATACTACAAAAAAATCTTGGTAATTGATATAACAAAAGAAAAAAAGAACTCAACTTGACCAAATTAAACTAATTTATTGGTTCATAGAACCATACACCACTAAATTAACAAAACTAAATCTTCAATCCTACAACCATAGTTAACCTTACATAGAGAAGAGCGCCTCACTTCAAAGTCATCATAAAAAGGAATGATGGCTAAGAAAGCTAAGTTTAAAGAAAAAAATCAAAATTAATACGGCTAAATTATTTTATCTTCACATAATTAATTAATTAAAGGGGATATAAGTACTGAAATAGGTGAAACTACCAAGGGGCATCGGGTAAGTTTGCCAAATGAAGGATAAAATATAATGATTAAAAATATTAATACAAATAAAGAAACGAATAGAACTTATAACTGACAGAAAGAACAAACTTGTTGAAGAGCAGTCACCCCTTTGTCAGTGCGTCCAGCTACAACAACGCAGCCTTCCACTGGTAATGATCTTTCTTTAAGCTGCT